AATATGCATTCAGGTTGAGGTTTATTTTTATTATTTGTCTGATAATTTTTCCAATTTGTGATTCTAAATGTGATTTGTGATTTGTTTTAAATATAATTATACTGTCATTGTCATTATGTGGCCAAGAGTTTATAAGGAGAATAAGAGATGTATCAGCTCTTTTTCTTATTCACCTGTCCTTGTGTTATTAGTTTTATCTTTGATCTATGGTTTTGCAATTTTTTTGCAAAAAATACTTGTTTTTATTGTGGGATAATTGACATTATATTGTGTAAGTTTAAGGTGTACTATGTATTGATCTGATAGATTTATATATCGCAATATGATTACTACCATAGCTAGCTAACACCTCCATCAATCACATAATTGTCATTTCTCTGTTGTGGGGAGAACATTTAATATCTAATCTCTTAGCAATTTTGAAGTATATGATACAGTGTTGTTGACTATAAGCATGATGCTGTGCATCAAAACTCCAGAACTTACTCATCTTCTAACTGCAAGTTTGTACTTTGACTGACATCTCAATTCCCACACTCCCTAGCCTCTATAACCACTATTCAACAGTTTCTACTAGTTCAGCTTTTTAAATTTTTTTTTAAGTAGGCACCATTCTCAACATGGGGCTTGAACTAACGACCCTGAGATTAAGAGTTGCATGCTCTACCAACTGAGCCAGTCAGGTGCCCCTAGTTCAGCTTTTTTAGATTCCACATATAAGTGATACCATACAATATTTGTCTTTATGTGACTTAATTCACTTAACATAATACCTTCAAGGTCCCATCCATGTTGTCACAATGGCAGGACTTCCTTCTTTCTCATGGCTAAATAATAATACGTTTATATAAACCATGTCTTCTTTATTCATTCATCCATTGACGGACACTTAGATTGTTTCTATATCTTGGCTATCGTTAATAACAAACAGCAGGAAAATACTTACTTCACAAACTCCCATGTTTGACAGATGATTGAATAATCAATCTAACTTCATAGGGATATAGCATTGCTATTAAAACAAGTTAAATCATAAAATATTAGCAGTAGAAGAAACTTCTACATCATCTAGTCTAGGGGTCTGCAAACTAGTCTATAAGCCAAATCAACTCTCCACCTATTTTTATTTTTTTTAAAGATTTTATTTATTTATTTGACAGAGAGAGACAC